TGTAAGTTCTATAAGACATGAATAGTGATGAAAGTGATTCTTGTAACATTTTATTGCCATGTGCTAAAATTTCAAGGATTAACTCATAATGTTTTAATTTTTACAGCTGATTGAAATCAGTCTTTGTTTTCCTTCTCAGTGCTTGATTTTTTGCTTCTAAGCAGACATGAGAAAGTAGTAGAAATCAGAACAGCAAATACTGGATTTCTGATGGCAACTATAATCGTGTTTCCTTCTGAATTAGTTTAAAAAAAAAATCTTCCTCTACTTTTCTTTCTTAACACAAAATTGAAAACATACTGCAGTTTTTTTTCTTGCTTTTTCCACTCAACATTTCCCCAGGTCTTTAAACATCCCCCAAACATAATTTTCAATGGCCACTGTTATATTCTATGGCAATATCATTTAGCTGTTTTTTTTCAGCATGAGTACTTTTATATAACTGAAGGAAATTAAGCCACGTGTTGAAGATGAACTGTTGAGAAAATAGTACATTTTAAAAAGGAGATTCCTATAATCAATTGACCATTCCATTCACATTAAAGCACTCATAATTGGAGTTTTTATGTACAATGAGTTGACATTAAAGTAGGTATCTTGGATATCTGCAGTTAAGGTAGGTTATCTTGGATGACCAATTCAAGGAAGTTCACTTAATCCAACTTAATGAAGCCTATATCCTTCGCGTATGGATGGAAACACTGGCGGCACATATTGAGGCCGTATTTCCGGATCAGACCATGCCGGTTTGAGCAGACATGGCAAGAACAAGAACCCTGGCCAAATTTCCTTGGATGGCTCCAGGACAGCTGCTGGTGACCCATCTTGCTCTCTCGGATGCAACGAGGCAAAAGGCTCATTTAGCTGTTTTCTACTTAGGGATTTTAATTGTTTTTAATCTTTTGTTCTTATTGCTGAAGTGAAAATTCTTATGCATAATTATGTTTGCATCTCAGATTATTTTGAATAAATTCCTAGAAGTTAGTTTACAAGTTCAAATAGTAAGAACATGTGTATAGGTGTATAAAACAAACTGCTTTCCATAAAGGTTATGAAATTTATACTTCCATCATTCTTTGAAAATGTCAATTCACTGCATATCCAAAAATAATAAACATTTTTTTAAACCTGTCCATTTTAAATATCAAAAACACCATCTCACTGATTTAATTTTTTAGAGATTGAACTTTCTTTTTTTCAAAGATTTTATTTATTTATTTGACAGACAGAGAGAGACAGCAAGAGAGGGAACACAAGCAGGGGGGGTGGGAGGGGGAGAAGCAGGCTTCCCACTGAGCAGGGAGCCCGATGCGGGGCTCGATCCCAGGACCCTGGGATCATGACCTAAGCCCAAGGCAGACACTTAATGACTGAGCCACCCAGGCGTCCCTAGAAATTGAACATTTTTTATACTTAGTATTTACAATTCTATCTTTTCAAATTGTGTCATCTTTTATCCATCTTGGCATTACAAAGTTTTTTTTATATTAAACTACTATAACTCAATATAAAAGATATAAACCTTGCCTATGACACCTGCAAGTTTTTATTTTTTATGTCATCCAACCAACCTTTCCCCTTGTGATTTTCCACAATTTTTATGCTTAGAAAATCTTTTCTCATTTCAACCTAACTATTGACATATTTTCTTTTAGTTCTTTTGGGGTTTTTTTTGACATCTACATTTTTAAAACACCTGGAATTTATTTTTCCAATGGTATAAGGATGATGATTTAATATCTGGTAGCCTAAGAGCCCATTAATCATTATTTCCAAAATTTTTCTCCCTCTTTTTCCATCTTAGCTTTTGAAATCACTTAGTCAGGTATTCCTCCTCCCACCCCCAAAAAATCTCATTTAGATTCTTATTGAAATTGCAATTAAACTATAAATAAAAATCAGGGAGAATATATAGAAGGATGTTGAATACTGGTGCTGTCAGGCGATTATCCCATACCTGACTGTCATAGAAATACTTCCGGTGTTATATTTGTTGAAAACCAACACATAGAATTTTTGTTTCAGATATTTTTTAGAAGTGTATTAGAGAATTCACCCTCCATTTATTACTAAATCTTTAACTGAATGTCAACTTTGTATTTTGTCAAATGCCTTTGTAGCCTTTCTGGGATTCCGTGTGCCATTATGCTTGATACTACAGATCTCATGTATAAACAGGTTTCTTAACAGTAAACCATCCTTTAGTTCTTGTCATTAAGTCCTACTCTTAGCAGTGTAGTCTTCTTTAATATGTGGATAATTTGTGGTTGCTTGTGCTTTAGTTAACATTTTGACATATTGATATTTCTAGTCTGGAGTTTTTTCTGAAGATAATTTTTTGGATAACTAGTAAAATTTCAATGATTGCCTACTTCAATTAGATGTTCAACTTCTGCATTTCACTTCCATTTTCCTTGAACAATATTCATTTAGAGATTCCAAATCTGAGTCTCAATTTTTAAAATCTCACCTGCATTTACTGTTTATATGCCATTCAGGTTTCTGAATTTGGCATATTTACGATTTCCATTTTTCTTTTCATAAGGTGTCTTAAGTGTTTGTCTCTATGTTTCTGGTTTTCCTTCCTGTGTCAACCAAGAATTAGTTGTTTGACTTACCAAAACTTTTAGTCTAATTTGTTTTTACTTACTTGCAGAACGAATCTTAAGGTGTTCTGTGTTGTGCTGTGCTATTAACTCAATTTATGAAGTGTCTATTTCCATTCATACATGAACCTATCTTGCCCAGGCTGCTATGAAGTGTCATGCCTTCTAATCATCAATTTAATTAATCAGAAAGGTCATTATAACATCACTATGATCTACTGGAATTTTTAGAACCTATTTTTTTAAATCTTGTTAATGTTTCAGGAAATAATCAACTAACTAGATCTGGTGTTAGGAAATTAGAAAACTACTTTAATCATGTTTTTCCAGAAGGCACTGCTCCAGTGTTTCATTCTCAGCACTATTCAAGCTAAACACCTCAGAATAAATTGTGTTATAGGGAAAAAACAAAATGGAATGAAGAAACAAACTGAATGCTGGAAACTGTCACGTTTAACACAATGTAAATACAAACAATTTAACTTTATTGAAATTAGGAAAAAATACACCTCAGAAGCTACATGTTTCTCTGTAGAAATGATAATCTGATTGTGGAAAAACTCAATATTCATGCATTCTTGAAATTTGCCCGATTTTTCTTCTTTAGCCCATTAGATTTCCTGGTATGTTATTATCATACTTTGGCTTGCTTTTTCCTGTATAATTCGTGTATATTTTTCAGAAATGCTGATTAATGGGCGCCTGGATGGCACAGTCAAGTGTCTGACTCTTGATTTCAGCTCAGGTCATAATTTCAGAGTCATGACATCCAGCCCCACTTCGACCTCTGCACTGGATGTGGAGCCTGCTTGGGATTCTCTCTCCCTCTCCCTCTGCCCCCATCTCCCCCCACACATACACTCTCTTTCTTAAAAAATAAACAAACAAGAAATGCTGATTAATTACCTCGTGTCCTGTGAAATTCATATGGACATTCTTATGAAAGAAAGTACTTTTTTGAAATGCATTCTCCATATTTTATGTAGGTGGGGAGAAAAGGCTTTTCTAAAAATGTTAAATATCTTTAATTTGGTTCCTGTGATTTACCAAACTGATAATGACTCTACTAGTCAATAGGTGTTCTTATTCTTAGAGAACGTCCCATTTAGTGTAGGAAGCCTCTTCAACTTACACTTTTCCCTCAGAAGTCAACATTTCCCTAACATCCAAAAAACGAATAATCCAATTAAAAAATGGGCAGAAGACACAAATAGACATTTTTCCAAAGAAGATGGCCAACAGACACATGAAAAGATGCTCAACATCGATCATCAGGGAAATACAAATCAAAAATACAGAGATATCATCTCACACCTTCAGAATGGTTAAAATAAAAAACACAAGAAACAGCAAGTGTTGGCGAGGATGTGGATTAAAAGGAACCCTCTTGCACTGTTGGTGGGATTGCAAACTGGTGCAGTCACTCTGGAAAACTACATGGAGTTTCTTCAAAAAGTTAAAAATAGAACTACCCTATGATCCAGCAATTGCACTAGGAGGTATTTACCCAAAGAATACAAAAAATGCTAATTCAAAGGGATACATGTACTTGGATGTTTATAGCAGCATTATCAACAATAGCCAGATTAATGAAACAGCCCAAGTGACTGATGAATGGATAAAGAAAACGTGGTATATATATTATCGTGTGTGTATGTGTGTGTGTGTGTGTGTGTGTGTGTATACATACACACACACACACACACACATACACACAAATATTACTCAGCCATAAAAAAAAGAATGAAATCTTGCCATTTGGAACAACATAGTTGGAGTTAGAGAGTATTATGCTAAGCAAAATAGGCCGGTCAGAGAAAGACAAATAAAATAACCATATGATTTCACTCATATGTGGAATTTAAGAAACAAAACGAGCAAAGGGAAATAAGAAAGAGAGAGGGCAAACCAAAAAACAGACTCTTAACTACAGAGAACAAACTGATGGTTACCAGAGGGGAGGTGGGTGGGGAGATAGATTAAAAAGGTGATGGGGATTAAGGAGTGAACTTGTTGTGATGAGCACTGGGTGTTGTATAGAAGTGTTGAATCACTAGACCGTACACCTGAAACTAATATCACACTGTATGTTAGCTAACTGGAATTTAAATACAAACTTAAAAAAAAAAACGAAGTTGTTTACATTTCCCTTTCAGTGACCATAAGATATACAGATTTCTCCACATACACTTTTAAGATGTTTGGGCAAAGACACGGGTAAGCCACTTACATTTTTCATGATAAAAGCTAATACAGACACACACCCCTCTGAAGTAGGAGTATGAGAATAATTTCTAGCAAACTCTGAAATTCTTTCTGTCAAATATGTAACCACCATGATACAGGGAGAGTTTAACAGTGAGATGGAGAGCTGAGGGCTAGTAACCCTCTTACCTGCTTTCCATCCAGCGTGCAGAGCCTCTTGACCACTCCTGAATCTAGTTTAATGGCTTCGGTGATATCTGTCAACACCTGTTCAAAGGAATGAGCAGTCTTCTTATTTAGAAGGATCCGCACAGCTTTTCTAGGCTTCACTCCACTTCGAATCACAGTCACTAACTTGGGTTTGATGAAATCTTTACTTTCCTTCACTTCACTTTTCACCGAGGAGGGAGCAGCCAAGGCTCGGGTTGTCCCACCCTTGATGTTCACAGACCAGTTCGGATTAATATTTTTGGTGTAATCAACTTTACGAAATGGTTCATTTGATGCACACACGTAACTCTCACCTAAAAGGCAAAAAATCAGTTTAATTAGCATGATTATCCCCACCACAGAAGCACTGTATCTTAAGAACAAATGCTGGAGACCCATTAAATGAACTCCTAAACTTAACAGGTTCACTGAAAATGGGGATTCACATCCTTTTCTTTTGTCATTCTGCCCATCCTCCCTTTCTATTTAAACATCTAGATTGGTTTTGAGAGAGAGAATAACACACATCACAGCATGAAAAGCACTAGACAAATGAAACAAGAGAGACTTGGACTTTATTCTGATCAAATATGTCACCCTGGATAATTCCTCTGCACTTTGGTTCTCAATATCATTGTCTGTCAGTTGAAGCTGTTGAATCAGATGGATTCTAGAGTACTTCCTAATTACAAAATCTATTAACTAATTAAAAAAAAATCCCATTCTGGAAGAAGTAATTATATCACAAAATAATACATTCATATAAAGAAATAAAACTATTTTTCTTCTTCCAACTACAAATTTCAGTCCTAATTGAAGAATGATTACTCTGTCTTCACAAAGCTGTCTAAAATATATTTAGTCATAGTATCATTTACTCAATTAATGAATTACTGCAAAAATGAAGGAAGAGTTTTGACAGCTTGAAAAAATTTACTTCAGGCATTTTATTTCTTAATTAAAGAATGTGAATTTAAAATAATTAGTTCAAAAAGACAACCTTCTCTATATCTACTTAAATGGGAAAGGATGTTAAATAGTTTAAAACCGATGTGCCTGGGTGGCTCAGTCAGTTGAGCTACCAACTCTTAATTTCGGCTCAGTTCATGATCTCGGGGGGGGGGGGGGGGGGGGAGCCCCATGCTGGGCTCTGTGCTCAGCGGGGAGTCTGCTCCTCTCCCTCTCTCTCACCCCTCCTTCTGCCCCTCCCCCCACTCATGCTTACATGCAGGTGTGCTCTCTAAAATAAATAAATAAATCTTTTTGAAAAATAAATAGTGTTCATTATTCATGCAGCCTTCTGCTTAATTTTTATTAAAACATAAAAACTATACTATTTGTCGATTGGTTTACCAACTCAATGTTCATTAATTTTAAGTCCCAAAATTATAGGTTGAAAAGTAATGATTTTTATAATTATAATTTTGAAAATCCTAATTCATAATTATATATTTAAAAATCATACTTTTCCTTTCAGGAAACTCAGAAGTCACCCAATTCTTTTATTCGCACCTGTTTGGCATACAGGGCAAGAGGATTACACTCTAAGATTTTCTCTAAGATACCTTCTAACTCAAAAAGAATCCAGTATTTTTTCACATAGTGTAACAGTCTCACTCATAATAGAATAATTATATGACACAAGCCTTAAGGGCTGTTCGTGCTTAAAACAAAAATAACCAAAACAGTGAAAAGCAATGCCTGAGGAAAACCCAGTAATATAAATATCAGATTTAACTATTATCAGGATGTTCTTAAGATCCTGATGAACAGAGAACTTAAAGACTCCCAAAGGCACATGAACAATTCAGTAACAGATCAGGCATATAAGAAGGGTCTAAAAAGAGGAGTAAAGCCTTCTATTCAAAGGTAAAATTAGGCCACTGTCCAAGAAAACTAGGGAAGCAGCCACAGGCTCTCCTGCTGCTTCCACACCAGTAATCAGAAAGCTAGCACAATCATCGCCATTTAGTTAGAGATTTTCCATTTCTGTAGGTTTATCCAAATGACTTTTCACAGTATACTCATCTGGGAAAATGGCATGTAGTTCCAAATACACATATGAATTTAATAAAAATAGAACTATACATCACATGCACTTATTTACAAGCAAAAATAAACAGGATTTTGCTTTAATTTTATAGAGAACACAAGTCTCATTGAAAAGCTCTAAATAAAATTTAATTGTATGTTCTGATTCAAAATATTAAGATGGAAGAAAGAAAAGGAAATTTCAGCAAGAGACAGTGGTTTTGTTTTGTTTTGTTTTGTTTTTAAGGGCAGGAAGAAGTCAGCTGGGGAAAAGTCTTTCCCAATATAAAGCAAAAACACAATGATAAAAAGAAACAAAACAAGAGCAAATTTAGTATGTCAGATTTCCTTGATCAACCCTGAACAGCTGACATATCAATGAGGCCAGCTGCCTTTTAAATTCATCTGTATTTTGCTTCTTTATACAGGTTCAGGACATCAGAATGAAAATAGGTAAAGGAAGTCTTTTAATTTATGTGTGGTTACAGACATATTTTAATTCCCTCCTTCTCTCCCCTCCTCCCTTCATACTGTTTCTATTAAAAACTTGTAGATCAGTTCTATAAAAGTAAAGTTTTGAACCAGCAGATATCCATTTTGGCATCTTTGGCATACAACATTTCAGCACAAAGGTTCAAGACACAGTTTTGAGGTCATACGTGTGTTTCCAAATACTGGGCACATAAAACCCTACAGTAGAGATGTCCTACCTTGATAACCATAGCAACCAAGATACCCAGGCTAGCATCCCTTGTTACGTCCCCACCCTGATCAAACAGTCTCCTGATGGCAATTTTGTCATTTACATAGATTTGCCTATCAGGAGAGAACATGCAGACAAAAGAATTTAAGATTTTGTTTCCTTGGGCAGTTAGAGCTCTTGCTATTAACCAAATAATAAATTATTATTCTGTTAGATAGTAGGCACCTACAAGATTTATTAGAAGCAATCAGCCTCCCCTCAACCAGATTCTTGCTACTGTAGGAATTCTGGAAGATTTGTTACCCCCTCTGCCAACTTGTCACTTCCCCCTTCTTCCCTATCCTGGTAGGAACATCACTTCCTACTGAAACTTACTCAGCTAGAAACCGAAGCATCATCCTTCACTCTTCTGCCTTCCCTACATACTACATTCTGACATCAAGTTCTGTCCACTCTCTTTTCTAAATATTTCTCAAAATGTCCACCCTCTGTGTCCTCACCACCACCCACTCCCTACTTGGACCAATGCAAGAATGTTTTGTTTTCTGCTCACTCCCCAATAACATAACAAACAGCAGTGCATTTTATGCTATTGATACAGCTGAAAAAGTACATCCTCAAGTAATGAGTTTTGATATCCTGATAAACTATCACACTCTGAAAGGATTTTTAAATTTTTTGCCAATACATATTAAAACTACACTCACCCAAAGAAGGAAAAGATAAGCATCTCATTTATAAATTAAAGTTAAAGATATAAATGTGTGTGTGTGTATATATATATACACACACATGATATGTATATATGAATATGAATATATGAAAAATAAGGCTGTATCTGAAGTCCAGAATTGATCTGGCTTTAACAGCTAGATCTCATTATTATTATAAGCTGCTCTGATGCTCAGAGTCAGACCTGTGTTCTTCTCTGGGATGTAATCTCATACAGTATCTGTATCAAATAAAGTCACTCTGAGACTATGGTAAAGAGACACAAAAACAAGTTCACTGTGCAACCCACAAGATACCAGACATCCTCCTCTCACACTCATTGAATGACTTTACCAATTACAGCTTTTTCCTCAATCTACTCTGTGCTCCCAGTAAGATTTCATGAGATACTCAGTCACAGAATTGTCCTTCCTGCTAACAGCACCCAATACACAGCAAGTCCTTGCTTCCCCAGATCCCCCCTAAAATTATCCAACCAAAGCCCAAATTCTACGATAGGTCTAACACCGTCTTACTGAGATGCCCCATGGTACCATACAATGTGCATTCTCTTTGCTGCAATGAATAATAAACTCAACTTGTTCAACTATAGGTATGTTCTTGATGGTCTCTGGCTGAAGAGAACTAAGATATACACACACACACACAAACACACACACACACACACACACACGCTCATTCTCTTTCTCTTCCCAATAATAGTTCTTTGACCATAGGAGTTTAGAAGGAAGTTGTTTTGGAAATTATGATCACATGAATACTAAATACAAAGAAAATTTGCTTTATGTATGGAAAGATGGATAAAAGCATAAGGTGATTATAAAACTTAACAGTTTTTATGCACAACACTAATCTTTGAATTTCCTTTAAGACACTACAGTGGCATGGCTATGGCTTCTTACCACTGACATTCGTTCAAAGACACTTTACTTCGTAGTTAGCAGGTTGTCAAATTAAGTTCCTACAGTTGTGTAATACCACCTGCATATCAACCATTAATGTTCATCTTTACTCAACCGAAGAATCTGCCTCCTTTAAGAGGCAAGATAATATTAAATGCTAGGAACTCTCCAATGTCTTGTCTCTGAAAACCTTCATCCTTACAAATGTATTCAGACGGTGCCAATTTTTCCCACCTTATCTCTCTTTGCAGTAATAGGATAGCCACCTCCTATTGGATGTTCAGTACCATGTTTGTGTGTCCTCATGCTGCAGTTTCAGGGACATTGTTCTTCTCTCCTCCATTTAACTAGGCAGCCCTCTCTACAGGATTAGATACAAATACCTCCTACCTTAACACACACAAAACCTCCCTCTTCCTTCCTCATCGCACTCTACCTAATGTGCTTTTGGCTTCCATTCACTGCTGAGTTAAAAAAAAAAAAAACTCTCCTCATCTGTTTTTTTCCCCACTTCCTCACCCATTGTTTGCTCTTAAGCCACTGTGGCATCACTTTTGCTCTCTGCATTCCCCTGGCTGGAACACCCTGATCCCCGAGCATATCTTTCCTAACTGCCAAATGCAAAGCACATCTTCCAAATTCACTGGGTGTCTTCTGAGGGCACTGGACACTAGTCATGATTCTCTCTTGCAAATCCTTTTTTCCTTAGCTTCCACAGTCTGATTTCTTTTGGTTTATACCTCTTACTTCTTTGATTGTTCCTTCTTGATCTGCTTTTCAGGGTCCTCGTCTCCCATTCATCTACTTCATCCTCCTTAGACTCTCTGTGGGCAGTTGCATTCACCCCCATGGCTTCAAACACCACCTATATCCTGAGGACATTTCCAGCCTACTCCTTTCTCTTGAGTTCAAGCCACTTACTGAGCATCTCTACTAGATTACCTAT